TATGATTTCGAGATTTTTTATAAACCAGGAAAGACTAACAAAAATGCGGATGCTTTGAGTAGACTTCCAATAGCGGTTATAACAAGGGGTAAAGCAAAAGAGGCGGAACTTGCAAAAAATTCAAATACAATTTCAAATAAAAACCAAGAGGAGATAGAAGATTCGATAGAACATACACACGAAGATTTTGCAGTATACTTAACAAGTAAAAAAGACATTCAGGAAGTTTTGAAAAAATTTCATGATTCACCAATAGGAGGTCATAAAGGGGTAACTAAAACTTATTTCCGAATAAGAAAGCAGTTCAAGTGGGCAGGCATGCAAAAACAAATAAAAGAATACATAACAGCTTGTCATAAATGCCAAAAGAACAAAAGCTCAAAAGTGGAGAGATTACCACTGATTCTAACTGACACGCCCCAAAGACCGTTTGATAAAGTATTCATGGATATAGTAGGTCCATTACCGACTACGGAAAGTGGGAATAAACTCATCTTGACATTTCAAGATGATTTTTCAAAATATCTAATATGTACTGCGTTACCAGATGCAGAAGCCTCAACAGTGGCGAGAAAGTTTTTTAATGAAATTATCGCAAAGTTTAATATTCCTAAAGTTTTAATTACGGATAATGGAACGAATTTCACATCAAAGCTTTTTAAAGAAACATGTAAAATTCTGGGTATTAAAAAACTTCAAACTACACCCTACCATCCACAGGCAAACGGAGCTCTTGAACGTAGTCATAGACCTTTAGCAGAGTTCCTGAGGAATTTTGTGAAAGAAGATGGGTCAAATTGGGATGAGTGGTTACATCATGCAATGCATGTACATAATAATACAATGCATACAACCACTAAGCAAACACCTACTAAAACGCTATTTGGTTTTGAATTCGAGATACCGATAAGTTTAAAGCGAAAACCAATTCCAGTTTATAACTATGACGATTATTCCAAATTGTTAAAATATCAAATACAACGGTCATATGAATTAGTAAGAAAAAACCATAAAATAGCTAAAGAAAAAGCAAAAGAGTACTATGATAAGGGAACTAAAAATAGAAGGTTCAAAATAGGGGAAAAAGTGTGGTTGAAAAACCCAAATAGAAAAAATAAATTTTCACCTATATGGGAAGGTCCTTTTCAAGTTACAGAAATACCTACTCCCGTAAACACGAAAATAATCATAAAGGGTAGAGAAAAGATTTTTCACAATAATCTTTTAAAACTACATAAGACATAGTTTGAACTAGCCCTAAGAATTATAGTACTCAACAATTTTTAAAGCTATTTTATTTTTTCTGCAGTTATTTTTCACTGGAATAGTATTGATAAATTCTGAATTGTATGTGGAGAAGATAGAAACAAATCTGGGATATACAGAAATCAACGTTGGAAAAACTGAAATCGTCAGTGAATACAATTACATTTTACACACAATAGACCCATATGAAATTGGACAGTTATTAGAAAGTTTTAAATATACAGTGAATAGAACAAATAAACATACAGGTTACAGAACATTGATAGATTCAGAGATTACTTTAACGGAAAATATGTTACATACCTTACTACCCCATAGAATGAAAAGAGGTTTAGTAAATGCAGGAGGACGTTTGTTTAATTGGGCATTTGGCACCTTAGACGACGAAGATAAAACTGCGATAGAGGGACACATTAAAATATTGGAACAAAATAATCATGATTTAATATCGGCTGAAAATCAACAAGTATTAATTAATGATAATTTCAATAAAACTATAGTGGGCCTTAGAGAGGTAATGAAACATGACAGAGAAGTAATCAGAAATAACGTGAGGCAGTTTGATGAAGTTCGTTTAGGGATAATAGAGGAAAGTATAGCGATTATGCAGCTTTTCTCTATAACAAGTTTAAGAAGGCAAGTAGAAAAAATTCAACAAAGTGTAGCAGCGGCTAAGTCAGGAATGATTCAACCGAACATTTTAAGTAGGGAAGAGATACAAAGATTTGATATTGACTTCCAAAAACTTAAACAAATAAAGTTAGGAACAGCCACGTTTAAACAAAGATCAATAGTGTTAGTAATAAAGGTGCCAGCGGAAACAAAATGGGTAGAAAAAAGATTAACTGTACCGATACCAGATGAGCAAAATAATCAGGTAAATATAGATTTAGAAACAACAGTTGAAATAAAGGGTACTAGGTATAGATTTGAAAATGATAAGTCTATTTTTGAATTAAAGCCAAGTAAAAGTTGTGTTTTTACAGGTAAATGTACTGTAACTAAATACCTAGAAGAAAAGGTATTAGAGATTGACAGTAACATGATAGTAGTATTAAATATGAATAAGGGTCAGCTTAATAGCACTTGTGATCAGAGAAGGCTATCAATTAAGGGACATTATTTTTTAACATTTAATAATTGTTCGGTACAGATTAATAATATTGTTTTCAGAAACACTGTAGTGAAAATAGATCAAGTTTTTGTTTTACCACCCACCACTATAGAAAAACTAGAACCTAGAAATCCATCTTTAACGTTTGAAGAAATTGTAATTAAACAACAGGAAAATTTGAAAAGAATTGAAGAATTACATTTCCATAGGAAAACGTTAAACGCAGTTGGAGGTTTATCAGTAGGAGCATGTGTAATACTATCTTTATTATTATATGTAATATACAAGAAGTTAATAACTCAGACTACAACGGAACAAGAACAACCTACTTTACAGCGAACACCAAGTTTACAATCAGTTATAAGACATTATCCTCCACCATCACCACCACCGGTACAAGCACCAATTGTACAATATACAAATACAACTCCTTATGTACCACAACCAACACAGTTACCACCACTTCAACCAATGCAATATAACAATGCTACTTTAGCACCAACTCATCCAGGAATACAGTTCACTGGAGTATTTTAATACTATATTTGTTATAAGAAAGGTGTATATAATGTTAGTAATATAATTTAGTTAAATTAGGGTTCATTGAACATATCATATTTTTAGAAATATGTCATTAATGGTAAAATTAAGAATAGGTAAAAGATAGAAAAATTTAAAATAAGCAATGGAAAATGTAAAAACAAGAATAATAATCATAAATGTAAAATATAAATAATATTTAGAGAATCAGGTAATTTTAAGAAAACATACTGATTTAGTATATACAAATTTTAATAGTTTTAAGAAAAATGTAAAATATAAAAATAAGAACTTTGAAAATTACTTAAAATATTATATTTGAAATATTAAATAATAAAATATCAAGTAGTTTTTAAGCAAGAGAAAACAAAGATAATGTTAAAACTAAAAACCAATAAAATCTAAGTATATTAAATAAAAGATTCATGTAAGTTAACGATACATATTTAATATTTATTTTAATTATTTACTCTATCTACATTAAATGAAAACAATTAGTTTATAAGAATTAAATTAAAAAATTTTAAATAAGAATGTTAAATTAAATGTGCCAAGGATTAAAGAATAACTAATGTAATAACCAAATTAAATGTATTATATATGCAAACTAAACTAGTTGCATTTAATAACATAGTTTTAGGATAAAATTCAAAGTTTGTAAACATACGCTTAGAAAATTTTTTTTGTGACCTTAGGGATGTTAGACCTAACATTTTCGTGCCTCAATGTTCTTCAAAGGGGGAAGGAATGTTGTGATGTAAAGTTAACAATAGTTTCGTTCCTCAAAATAAGATTTAAGACCGTATTTTTGGGACAATTAATGTAATAAAGTTAAAAGTTTTAGTTAAGAATAATTAATAAATGCATAGCAGTCTTTATGGGGACATTTTCTATTGACACCTAAAAGTAGGCAAAGTTATTTACAATTGCAGTAATTTTAACAAGAAGACAAAAAGTCAGTAAGACAAACTGTCGAAGTAAAATGCTGATTTTTTGTAGTATTTATTATCTGGGTCAATTGTAAATGACTTTGAAAAAAAAGAAATGGTAACAAGGTAAAGACTGAAATATGTAGAATGAATAATTTTGCGAATTACGCAAAATTATTATTACAGAATTAATTTTTAATTAATTTTTAAAGTTTTCTGGGTTATTGGGGCAATGTCTAAAATAAAGGTCATATTAGAGAAAGTTCTAAGCGTAGGTGAAAGCAGCTCTATATATATAGAGTCTGTTTATTAATTAGGTCAGTTGCAGTTAGTCTTTGATGTAAACTGGAAATGTGTCAGTTTTAAGTGAAAGTAAAATGTGTCATTAGAAAGTCAATTGGAATAAGTGAGTCAAAAGATGATTCTAAAAGGTGGATCCTAAGAAGAAAGTCAATTGTAATAAGTGAGTCAAAAGATGATTCTAAAAGGTGGATCCTAAGAAGAAAGTCAATTGTAATAAGTGAGTCAAAAGATGATTCTAAAAGGTGGATCCTAAGAAGAAAGTCAATTGTAATAAGTGAGTCAAAAGATGATTCTAAAAGGTGGATCCTAAGAAGAAAGTCAATTGTAATAAGTGAGTCAAAAGATGATTCTAAAAGGTGGATCCTAA